AGGTGGCCAAGAAGGCCAACGGCATCCTGGCCTGTGTCAGCAATGGTGTTGTCAGCAGGAGCAGGGAGGGGATCATGCCCCTGTACTCGCCTTTGGTGAGGCCTCACCTTGAGTACTGCATCCAGTTTTGGGCCCCTCACTACAAGAGGGACATTGACGTGCTGGAGAGGGTACAGAGGCAGGCTACCAAGCTGGTAAAGGATTAGGAGCATGTGTCTATGATTCTATGAATAGTTTTCCTTGCAATAGTCTTACATTAGTGACAAGACTAAAAAGTCGAATTCTCCATGAAGTTCTTGGGATAACTGAAGACATAAATCTAAGTTAGGGCAAAGGAGTTTTTCTGTCTTGCAGGGGAACTACTCTAACCGACAGCAGTAAAACCCTTCTTTAAAAGGCTGCTATACACTAGAAAATACTACAGTAAACGCAGGAAGTTTAAACATTCTAACTTCTTGCACTATCAACATAACATCAATCTACTCATATACGAATTCCTCATAGTCTAACCTGTGCTGCGTTGGTCCTCATTTAGCCATTATATCATATTTAAAAAAAAGGTTTCAGGTAAAATTTATTCTCCCAGAAGACTCTTTGCTTCAGGTTCTATCCGACCGGAGAGAAAGGAAAGCAGAGACCAACTTCTGAAAGCAGCAGGGAGATGCTGCCTATAGAACAGAAAATATTCAAGCCTCTGAAGCAGTAAGGGATGTTTTCAGTGATGCAGCAATAATGTAAGCAAAGGGAACAGTATAGGCCAATAATACATGTGCAAGCAGGATGGGGGCAAGGACCCTCTTTTTCAAGGATGAGCTAGACAAGAGGTTAAATTTTCTTTGAAATGTTTTACTTTATATTATTCATCAATTTTGAAGAATTGCGTTATTCCAGTTTAACATCTCAAATTTGAGTACCAGTGTTACTTTCCGAGATTTGTTGGCATTAGGCTCTTTATTTTAAAGTCATATTCAAGAAAACTTGGGGCAATTACATTCAATCCTAGAAGCCTACCTGACACATGTACTGAAGAGGATAATAGAGCATTACTCACTGCTGCTCTCTTCAGTGGGAACACAAGTTTACACTTTTAGCAACCCGACACAGTAACAACCAGAAGCTCCAGATGCATCTGACCCGTGTTTGCATTAAATACATAGCTCACTCACAATCACGCATATTTCTACACTTCTGCCTGAGGATTTAAGAACATGGAAATATAAAAGCCCCAAACACACATGCTTGCAGCAGAAGATAACATTTTTTATAAACAGTGCATAAATCCCTGGTGTTATTTTCAACTGCAAGAGTTGTTTATAAGGCAAGTTCATCACTGTTACAAGCCAAAAACTCATACAAGCTAAAGTATACATATGATTTATTTTTAACAGACCTCTCATATTAAATGTTACTGATTATCAAAAGAAAACACCTTTAATTCTAGACCTATTAATATCTATCAATACTCCATGAAACTGATATATATGCTATCAAAACTCAGCAAAAATCAGCAGGGTTTGCACATACCACCGGCATTTACAGTCATTTCAAGTAAGATGGGTAAAAGTAATTTTAAGTAAGAATAACAACTGTACTTACAAAGGTGAATTCCTTTTCTATACTTCCTACTGTGAAAATATTAACATGTGCAAACTAATTGTAACACAGTGCTAATATCACCTTATGTCAAAGAATTAAGAAAACTAATCCTCACCCTGGCTGCTTGTGAGACTCTCAAAGAGAGTGTTGACAAAAAGGCCAGAGGCAATGATACCAGTATCTGATGAGTAATTTTAGAGTCAGTGAAATGGTGGATAGTAGGAATAAGTAGCCAAATAAAATCGGCAAGTACTATTATTCACTATTCTTATTTTATAATTATTAATGATGATGATGATAAAGGAAATGTTTGCCTTCTGAAGGAAAAAGGCATCATTTAAAGATCATAATTAGCAATTTTGTTATAGAAGACCCCCACGGCCTGTATACTAGCTATAGAACTTCGGTACTTGTCTGTAAGAGGAGGACTGTGAAGAGATCTGCATGTACTTAAGTCATTTTTATTGAAAGCTCTAACAGGTAAGTTGTACTTAAAGCAGAATAGATGTAGCATGCTGCAGACAGGAACCACATGTCTTCCATGAAAGTCAAGTAATCACTTGTCTGCACTTGACCTCCTCACCCAGAGAGTTTAATGTCATTGAAGACAATAACCTAATATAATACATGGATATTTATAATTTTTCTTGTGCCCCTTCCCTCACACTTCTGACAGCCAGGGAACATTTGGACTACACAATAAAACACCATCTCTATCTGCAACTATTTGGAAGACTTGGGAACATCATAAAGCAGGTTTACTTTGTCCTTAAGATTGATGTAGAAACCCTGAAACATTTAAGCAATCCCTCTTTCCCAAAAAGAGGAGGGAGGAAGAGCGAATTAAACTTGTTGAAAGCCATGAAACCTTCCACTTTGTTACAGTGTGCTGTCATTTATGGTTTACATTAAGACAGTGTACTTTATCACTCGAGATTTTACAGTGTTATTTTCCTACCAGCACGCTATTTCTCCATTTCTCTTCAGGTTTAAGATTGCTCAATCACTTTAATATATTTGACACTTCAGTAATAAAATCACTTGAGACCAAGTGATATAATAAGAAACTAGAGTATGCTTTCGGCTTTGAAGATCTGGGCTTAAATTACACTTCAATCAAATTCAACCCCCCAGTGAGCATGGCTTTGTTTTTACCCAGTCACCAAAAAAATACTACATCTGTATTAGCATTTCAGATTTGAAGAAGTACTGCAGTTAAGTAAATCACCTGCCTGCCCCATGCAGTTACATAAAGCAGTATTGGTCCACGCCAAAAGAATTCTTCTTAGAAGATACTAAAACAGAAATTACATTCTCAGTGCTCGAAGAAGGATTTCAAACCTTCCTGGGCTGAACAAGGACAGGATCTCACCAGTGTTCAGTCCTTCAATGCAAGCTAAAACACAAAAGGATTC